ATGAAGAGCATGTCGCATATCAAGGATGGAACACATTAGAAATGAGATCAGGCAAAGAACAAGGCGAATATATACCAGCACCGACAACATCGAATCGAGACACCTACTATGGTATGGGCACGTAAAAAGAATGGGAGGGGAAAGATGGCCAAAAAGGGCAATGGAGTATCGTCCCCAAAGCAGAAAGAAAAGAGGAATACCTACAACTACGTGGTTAGATGGAGTAGACCAGTATATGAGAGACAGAGCTATTAACCAGGAAGAATGGCAAAATCGAGCAATATGGAGGTCGAGGAGCTTGTCTCTGGCTCAGCTACTATAACTATCCTTTTCACCAGGAACACAACAAAGATGAGGCATAGCACCAAAAACACACTCCACTTAAGCTTTATTGACGAATTGTTAGAGTCTTAAAAAACACACACAAAAATCACGATAAATAAAAAATTTATGGGCACTTTTAGGTTAAAGCACTTAACAAAACGTGTAATATTTCGTGTTTTTTTATGAGAAACAGAGTGACCATCATAGTGACCATATATCTGGTAGTACTTTATGCCATTTAAACACCAAAATAATTAGTATTTTGCACTACAATAACAAATAATACCAAAAATCAACCGTCAAAATATGAATACAGAATCTAACCCAATATCTAAGTATGTACAGCTGATGAAGTAAACAAAAGTCCGCCCGAAGGCTGATCTTTTATAGAAGGCATTGGCTCGAGCAATGTTCCGAATGTTGCATCATTCTTATAAGTTGAATCAGTTAAATCGACTTTCGAACTGTTCACGTATTTTTAAGCCGAATAAAACGTATTTTTGAGGAAAATAGTGGTTTAATTTAAGTAAAAAGACTAATTATCTGTCCCCAATCTAAATGCCTGTCATCACGACGCTGCCGCTGTCAACGAATCAAAAAACGCCAATAAATAATGAACAATTTACACATATTTTCACAAAATTAAATTAAGATGTGGAACTTAACGAAGAAAGAAAGCTTGGTAACATGCCCCAACTGTCTGACGCCTGCCAAAACTAAAGTTACCTTTTTGCCCTACAAGAAGACCTTTATTGTAGCCCTTTTTTTGGCCCCCTTGTTGTTGTCAATGGTGCCATTTTTTCTTAAGAAGTACCGCAGGGCTGTACATAGATGTAGAGCATGCAGCATTTATTTAGGGGTGGTGTACTAAAATTGTTTGTTTTTTAACCAAAAATATTCTAGTAGGTAACATGTTATAGAGATAAATATATGTATTGTAATGTGTAAAATGGCAAAAAAATATCAGAAATAAAACTATTTTGTTCATGTATAAAAGATATATAATCTATACTAATATACAGGGTTGTTCACCACATACGACACGGAGTATTGTAGCTAAACGATTAGATTTTTACAAATTGTAAGTTTTGGGTTTTTTGAAGGTCTATTAGAGCTACAATTTAAAAACATTTTTACAATATACAGAGTGTCCCAAATAAGTAAAAAATATTATAGTTGTATTTTTTTAAATGGAACACCCTGTATATTACTCTATTTTTGGATTCTACGATCAAAATAAAGGTAAATTTGATTAAGGTTTATCATACTTAAACCTTACCGTTTTTGAAATATTTTCAATTTTATGAAATTGCAGTAAAAAATTTAAGGCTTTATTTCTCCAAGGGTATCAAAGTTTTTAATACTAAATATTTACTGAAGGTTATTTATTGATCAGGTATTGTGTTGCAATAATAAAAATGTTACTACCTTATACAGAGTGTCCAAAAATTTATATTAAATAATTACTAGCTTTAAACCGCAATAACTTGTTTAATTTAAATGGAACGCCCTATATATTTTACGTGAATCAGATGCACAATGTAATTGTCTATCAAATTGTATTATATCATTTTTTACGCATCTCTTCAAGTTTTCGTACAAAATGCATTTTCTTACAATTTAGACCTCATTTATCACTATACCTATGAAATATTGACATTTCCGATTTTTTATAGCACCATAATATGTAGAAAACGTACAGGTGGTAAATATTGCAAACCTATTGGCATACAAAAAAACTATTTAAATCTTTGTAAAAGAGTATACCAATTATAAGTATACCACCATTATTTCCTACCAAAAACACCAAAAATTAGTTAATTACATACCTTTAAATTGTTTTAATTAATAAATTATTCTAAATAAATGTGGATTTGGCTCAGAAATCAATATAATAATAAGTTATGAAAATGAATGTCTCTGTTTTTTATAAATAAGCATTCGTCAATAAATGAAATAAAATTTATAAGATGTTACTTTTTACCACACTGTCTAATACACACACAAAATTCAGTTTTTTAGGATTTGGAGCAATTATTATTACAACGTAAACAGTCAATTAATGTAGTTTGAATACTGGGGTCATATTAATTGGTCCTCTTTAACAAAAAATATTTAAACAGTTGTTTTTTTATTTTTTAATTAAATAAGCGAACTATATCGACAATATTAGTATCTGTACCCTTTGAAAATTTATTACATCTTTAAAAATAAGCTAAAATGTCAATATTCCATGGGTATATTGATAAATGAGGTTTAAATTATAAGAAAATGCATTTTCTATGAAAACTTGAAGAGATGGGTAAAAAATGAAACAATACAATTTGATAGACAATTACATTGTGCATCTGATTCACTTAAAATATATAGGGTGTTCCATTTAAATTAAACAAGTTATTGCCGTTTAAAGCTAGTAATTATTTAATATAAATTTTTGGACGGTCTGTATAAGGTAGTAAAATTTTTTTTATTGCAACACAATATCTGATTAATAAATAACCTTCAGTAAATATTTAGTATTAAAAACTATGATACCCTTGGAGAAATAAAGCCTTAAATTTTTTACTGCAATTTCAAAAAATTGAAAATATTTCAAAAACGGTAAGGTTTAAGTGTGATAAACCTTAATCAAATTTACCTTTATTTTAATCGTAGAATCCAAAAATAGAATAATATACAGGGTGTTATATTTAAAAAAATACAACTATAATATTTTTTACTTATTTGGGACACTCTGTATCTTGTAAAATTATTTTTAAATTGTAGCTCTAATAGTCGTTCAACGAACCCAAAACTTACAATTTGTAAAAATCTAATCGTTTAGCTACAATACTCCGTGTCGTATGTGGTGAGTATACAGGGTTGGTATACTGATTAATCACGATCCTGCTCAAAAAACTCAATGTAAGAAGCTCAATTTTGGCGTACAGGTTGATTCTAGGGTGTAGAGGTTCGATAAGAAGGGATTTCTCGAAATTCCAGTTCCAAGAGGGTGAAACCACCCCTTAAATATTACAATATTTTTTATTAAAAGAACGGTAAAGTTTCCGAAAAAACGCTTAAACACGTATATTTTATTTTGTTACATATTTTAAGATATTTTAAAAATGTATACAGGGTGTTTCGAAAAATCTGGTCATTGATTAATCACGATCCTGCTTAAAACGCTTCACGTAAAAAGCTGATTTTTGGATAACAGATTGACTTTAGGGTGTACAGGTTCGATAAGAAGGGATTTTTAGAAACTCGAATTCTAAGGGGGTGAAACTATACCTCAAATATTAAAATATTTTTGATTTATAAAAACCGGTGAGTTTTTCGGAAAAACTCTTAAACACGTATATTTTATTTTGTTGTTTTACATATTTTAAGATTTTTTATAAATTTATACAGGATGTTTCATAAAATATGACCATTGAGTAATCACGATTCTGCTTAAACTGCTTGACGTTTAAAGCTGATTTTTGGCAAACGGATTGACTGTGGGGTGTAGAGGTTCGATAAGGAGGGGTTTCTCGAATCTCAAATTTCAAGAGGGTGGAAACGCCTCTCGAATATTACAATATTTGTTATTTAAAAAACTTAGTCTTTCCGGAAAACGCTTGGACAAGCATAATTTATTTGGTTTTTTTACATATTTTGAAATTTTTTAAAAAATCATACAGGGTGTTCCAAAAAGTTGGGTAATTTCTTAACCACGATTCTGCTTAAATTGCTTGACGTAAAAAGCTTATTTTTGGCGAACGGATTTTTCGAAAGTCAAATTCCAACGAGATGAAACTACCCCTCAAATATTACCAGGCTATATAATAATATCGCCATATTGTTTTTTCTCATGCTGACATAAATGTGAGGAAATTTATCCAGTTTGTATGTTAATGGAAATTCTTGCTTTGCTTTATCATCACCATTACAAATGATTAATTCGACGCGAACGAAGTCGCTGGTACACGCTAGTATTTTATAAAAAACTACAAATCAGAAAATGCGGTAAAAGTTTTTTCAAGTATAACTTTCAAACTAATTGAGAAGTTCTTTCGTGTATGATAGAACTTAAAGTTTCGCTCAAGAATTTTTAAAAGTGTAACAACAACCCAGATGCTTCTACTTTATACGTGAACATCAATGTGAAATGAAAAAACTTCAAAATTAAAAAATAATATACAATATATAACATACAATTCAATAACATATACATAATAAGAAAATAGACAGAAAAAAACATTCTAATAAATAAAACAACACTGGAAATACTAGAAGAATATATATTTCAGATAACTAATAAACAGCTAAAGGAATTATTTAAAAATTTGAGGAAATTACCTTCAAAAACACACTATTTAATAAAATATTTTCCGGAGATACTTGTTAAATATACTCTGTGTTTGCTGAGCTTTAGCAAAATACCTACATACTTTTATTTATTACAGTATTTTCAAGAATGAAAACAACACAAAAATTACAATTTTCATATCGCATATTATTGGAAAGTTTTAGGAAATACAGAATTATTTGTTTATAGTCTGTGTAATTCATATTTCTTGACACTATTTGAACTAATTTCTTTTTCTTTTAATGAAATATTTAAACACAAAAGATAAGGGAAACATGGAACTTTGTAAATATATATTCGGGAAATAAAAGAGCTTTGCATGGGTTTAGCGCGCAGTGATATTAACAAAGTTTACAAGCTGTTAACGGAAACTTTGATATTAGTAACAAAATCTGTGGGATTTATTTCAAAGCCTACCAAGCCAACATTTATTTTAATACGCAAGTAGGTAATTTTTGATATATTTCTATTTTTATTTTTATTCTTGATGACCATTTTTAAGCCCCAGTACACTGTGTATTTCTTCATTTCTATTTACAACGGCGGTATTAAAGCTTTCGACTTTACAGGGTGTCCCATTTTCGGACGTTTTACAGGGTTTCTCGTTTATGAGTCGAGATACAAAGGTACGGTTTTCACATTACTGTGTCATTTATGAAACTAAAGATATACAGGGTGTTTCACAAAACATGTGCCATCTCTCGTGGGCAGATACCTCACGTAAAAATAAGATTTATTTTTCATATCAACATAGGTCCGATTCTGCTTTGTTTCGTAGCTACAGGGTGTTAAAGTCTTAATAATTATTTTCTCCCAAGTACTTTTAGTGATTCGAATGAAATTTTGACGGTAAAAGTTACTATGAGTGTTACTACATATTTTAATGCTAAAAAAGTGTCGATAAATTCAACAGGGACGTGCATATGGGTTATCACTGGAATATTTTTCAAAAAAAAACATGTGCGCCACTGACTTTTTCTCTTTTGATATCAAAATTGGGTAGGTCCTTTAATGCCAATTAAAAGTTATCTCTTGATATTTTGTCGAATTCGGCCTCCTTGATGAGATAGACGCAATTATATTAATCACATTTAATAAAATTAAAATAAAAACAAAATTAATAAGTTATATATATTTTACCTAATTTATTATAGTCTGTCCAACGAGAAGATCCTTGACAGTGATAGATGTGTCTGTCATTTTAATTTCAAAGTAGTTTATTTTATTTTACAAAGAAATAAGTTGGTACAACTGGAACGCATAGCAGGAAATATTTAAAATTTGATTGACAAGATGACAAGTGATTACTTCAAAATATTGTGAACCCTTTTTATACTAATACCGGTGTAGCAATTATAACGTGTTTTTTTAATAAAATTTGTGACACCCTGTAGAGTTGATCAGTTACAGTATCAAGTTCAAATTGAAATCACATTTTAGCCTTATCTTTTTTTTACATTTTGTTTTTTTATTTACTCCATTTCTCCATTATCTTCCTTATTACACGAGAAACAACATTTTATATTAAGAGATGATTTAATATTGGTTTTAATTAACATTTTTCCATTTTACTCACTAAAGTAAGTAGCAGGCTATATGGAAAAACAGGGATTACCAGTAAATGTCAAATAGAGATGCTTGTTGTCAGTGTCATTCGTTTTCGTCGTTTTATTATATCAAAAATATGCAACGTGCACGTGAAACAAGAAATCTTACTGGCGAAGAATGTGCCAAGCATTAATATTGTCTGAGGAAGGTTGGAGCTACCGAAGAATTGGTGAACGATTTAATGTAACTCACTCAACCATTTCACGAGTTATACAACGATATAGAGATACTGAGAGTAATACTTGTCGCAGGCCGGGACAAGGCAGGAATCGAAGAACCAATCCGATTCAGGAACGTTTTTTAAAACTCTCAACATTAAGACAACGTTTCGTAACAGCTCGGATTCTTCAAACTCAGCTTAGAGATACTAATGGTCTGCAAGTTTGCACAGAAACTAGCATCTCTATTTGACATTTACTGGTAATCCGTGTTTTTCCATAGTCTGCTACCTGCTTTAGTGAGTAAAATGGAAAAATGTTAATTAAAACCAATATTAAATAATGTCATCCTATAAAATGTTGTTTCTCGTGTAATAAGGAAGATAATGGAGTAAATAAAAGATCAAAATGTAAAAAAAAGATAAGGCTAAAATGTGATTTCAATTTTAACTTGATACTGTAACTGATCAACTCTACAGGGTATCACAAATTTTATTAAAAAAACACGTTATAATTGCTACACCCGGTATTAGTATAAAAAGGGTTCCTATCAAAATACAGTTAGTATAGCAACATTGTGGAAAGAATAACCTATCATTCAAAAAAACAATCGTCCAAATCGGATAAGTGGTTTTGACAAAAACTTAACTTAAACTTTTGGTTATTTTTTTGTGGTGCGTTAATTTATTGAGGAAGTGTATTAATTATTATTACTATTAATTCAACCTACAGCAATTTTAAATAAAAAAATAATGGGTATTCAAGATAATTACAATAAACCTAATTTTAAAAACTTTAAACATCCTGTAACTCTAAAACTATGCATTTCTTTGATGAGGAATCTATGAGTACTTATTTAAAATTTTCGCAAGAGGTTGCTATTAGACTTGGATCAAGGCAAATTAATAAAATTGCGTTTATCTCACCAAGGGGGCCGAAATCGACAAAATATCAAGGGACAACTTTTAATCGGCATTAAACTTCTTACAGTATTTCGCTAACAAGAGAAAGAAAAAGTCAGTGGCGTGCATGCTTTTTTTAGAAAAATATTCCAATGATAACCCATATGCACGTCCCTGGTCAATATGTCGCTTTTATACTAACTTTTACCCTCAAAATTTCATTCGAAACGCTAAAAGTCTCTACTTGGAAGAAAATTTTAATAAATCGAAAAAATATCCCTCCCACTCATTCTAAAAATTCTAACTACGAAACAAAGCAGAATCGGACCTATGTAAATATGAAAAAGAAATCTTATTTTTATGTGAGGAATCTCCTCACGAGAGATGGCACATGTTGAAACACCCTGTATACATAGGCAATAAAATGAATTTGTTTCAGGGCAAAATTAGGAAATGCCTGGTGGCGATGTGGAGTTACGTCATGGCCTCAGCAAGGGGTAACCTGAACTCAAGGACAAGCGGATCAGTGTTCACTGTGCAGGCGATCAACAGTTGCGGTGATCCTGGACCTTGCAGGGACGGACTCAATTCAGAAAGGTATATAAATACCTTTTCTCAAAAAAATATACAGGGTGTCCCAGAAATAAGTGCAAGTATTTTAACTGGTAGTATAGTTCAACCCCAGAAACACGCCTATGCGGTTTTTTTCGCAAAAAAAAATTTTTTGGATTTTTTTTGTTTTTAGTTAAAAACCATAATTTCTTAATAATATGGCAACATAGGTAGTAGATTAAATTTACAAAAAAGAAAATCCAGAAAAGATCCAGTGGTTCTCAAAATTTTAGCAAAAACTTATTTTTTTTGGAAATTTTCAAAGTAAAATAACTTCGTTATTTTAGACTTATTGGAAAAAGGATAAAAAGAAAAAATATGTTTCTTTTATCGAGATCTACCACCCCATAAAATACTTGCGCTTATTTCTGAGACACCCTGTAAATAATATTTTGAAGAGACGTGCATTTACCGTTAAATATCAGAATATTATACTGGGTGTTCCATTTAAAATAAGAGTAACTTGCTTTGAAAAGTGATCGATGTTCAATATTAATTTTGTCTCACCCTGTATAATTTTTGGAGTCGAATTTTAATTTGATTTAAAGTAGAATAGTTATTTTAATTACAAATTAGACTATACCGGGTAAATTCCAATTTTAAAAGCTTTTATTGAAATTTAAAATTTGTTCTTCATTTTTAGAAAATATTAAATATTTCAAAAACTTTACATTTTAGTCGTATGCTTCTCAAAATCTTCGTCTTCTTAAAAAGTGCTGTAAATTAACTTACATATACTCCCAAAAATTTAATTTCAATACAAACTATCGTTCTCCTTGGGGCCTCACTCTGTATATACGTTAACACTTCAAAAAAATAAGTTGACATAGGGACCTACTAATGGATTTAAGCTAAACTAAAAAAACATAAAAAAAAAGAAATATAATCAAACACAACCTACCAAAAAAATGATTAATTTGGGAAAAAAATTTACGGTTTTATGATGTATTTCTTTTTTTTCCAGATTTCAAGCTAAAACTAGGTTCAAAGTTCACGGGCCCTTGTCCAGAGGTCTGACCAGACCTGATCTGGCAAATGCTTTTTCCAGGGACGGATCCAGGGACGCATTGGCCGAGGTTAGGGTACAATCCGGATGTCCAGATGAATGTCGTAGCGTATCTAACAGTACATTGGATAATCCTTCACAGGTAAAAAGCTCCTACCGTAAAACTGTTTTGAAAAACTACTTTTTTTTTGTAAAAATACGCAAAAATATATGATTTTTAAAAATTTTTGGTTAAAAATACTATAATGTATCTATATTTTTTTTTCTGTAAAATTACTTGAGTTACGGAGCTGTGAAAATAATTAGTTAAAAACACTAGGATAGATTATCGTTTATAGCACGAGAGCACAAATTACCTATAACAGATGCGAAAGAAAGCGACTGCATTGGAAACCGCTCGGCAAACCCGACATGCCTATTGAGTGGTGTAAATACACCAGTCGTTTAGTCCGGAAACCTATGCTGTGTCGTATTCGCTTGCTGGAATGACATAGTGCGTGGTTATATGTTTCTTTTTAAAAACGCGTGTAGGATTTTTGTTGAACTTTTGAACTGTTATTTCTAAGTTTTGGTAATTTGTATATCTTATTTAAAATGGGATGCAAATGTGTTTATTTATAAGGAAAAAAAAGATATTTATAGTATAAAAAATTAATTTATTTAACAAAATTTAATTAAAAATGTTACAAAATAGTTACCTTTCTATTGGTTCTATCGGACTTTTTTCGACTATATAAATCTTTATTTGTAAACTTTAATACATCAAATATTTTCAATCTAATTAATCATTTAATGATGTAAATAAGAGGAAATTTCTCACATGGGTGGTCAAATTTTATAGTTTTCATTATATCAAACAGCCTCTGAGAAATGTTTTCAACTCAAAATGCCTTTAATTATGTTTGACTACATCATTAAAAAGGGTGTTCAAATACATCAATGTGATATTTGTCTAAAATTTGCAAAAAAATCCGAATCTCTGGATAACTCGAAATTATTTACCCATTTAAAAGCCTTTGATCATGAAAGTGGAAAAATTTGTTCATTTTATTTACAGGCTGGAAAAATTATTTAAATTAAATTTTGATGAGTTTTGCACTGAAGAAAACGTTCAGAGGCTGTTTGATATAATGAAAACTATAGAATTTGACCACCCATGTGAGAAATTTCCTCTTATTTACATCATTAAATTATTTATTAGATTGAAAATATTTTATTCATTAAAGTTTACAAAAAATAAAGATTTATATAGTTGAAAAAAGTCCGATAGAACCAATAGAAATGTAACTATTTTGTCACATCTTTAATTAAATTTTGTTAAATAAATTAATTTTTTATACTATAAATATCTTTTTTTTCCTAATCACCTACGAGCTGATATAATATGACGAACAATCTATTAAATTACTGCGAGATTATACAGAAAAGTCCACAGACTTCGAGACATAGGAAAATCAAGTCCATTTAGCGTGTGTCCAAATTTTGACAAGTTTTCAAAAATGACAGTTTTGTTTAGACTGACGTTTAATTTCACCTGACTTCTCGGTGAATGATTTTTTTTATGGGGGTACATAAAATCTAAAATTTACGGCCATGAAGAAATTCAAAACTTGGAGCAGTTAAGGCAGAAAATATTTAATGCCTTTGACACTGTCACCCCTGATATGTTATCCAATGTGAGGAGGGGATTTTATGATCGTTTGGGTTATTGTTTAATGCAAGAGGGAGGCACTTTTGAACAATTTTTGTAATTTTTTAAATTTCATTATCCTGTTTTTTTACCGTTTACCCATTACCTACCTTGACGAACATGGGAAAACGAAGGTCCTTTTCAGAACCACAAATATTTTGATTGAGAAAATTGGTAACTTTTTTTTTGGATTAAGAAACAAAAGTTGTTAATATAATACCAATTTAAAAGTGTTTTAGTAGTTTTAATACACACCATGATATAAAATTTATTATTATTATAATGTACATTATTAATACTATTGTTCATTCGAAATGGCATTAAGGCCCAATTGCAACAACGATTTAAATTTTTCTTAAAGATCAGTAGAGCTTAGAATGAGCTGTATTTATATTTACTTTAATATTCACCTTAAATGAGGGAATTTGACTGATACAAATTTTGAATTTGAATTGTTTTTAATGATACTAACAATTTTAGTTCAATTTTTAATAAAATTTATTTAATATTAATAGAAATCCAAGAGATTTGAAACCTCTTTTAGCGATTTATAACATTCCCAAATGAATTACAGGTGCCCTTATTTTCTATGAAAATCACACAGCTTTTTTCATAGTCGTTGCAGTTGCTATAGCTATAAAAAACTAATTTTTTAAGGTGTGAAAATTGCGCACACGCTAAATGGGACTTGATTTTCGTATGTCTCGAAGTCTGTGGACCTTTTTGTATGCCTCGATAACATATTGGTGCGGATTATTTTCACCCAAACAAATAATAACCCACACTATACATTGATGCGGATTGTCTATGAACTCTTTCTGAAGGTCACAGAAACCTGAACGCGTAATTCGGTATTCTTTCGGATCTGTTGTAGTTAATTTGTGACGAGAGCATACAGAAACAACAAGGACACAACTAAACCTTCTCTAATCTCCATCTACATCATTATTCATTCATCTTGTTGCGGAACTAACACGATCGGTCTGTTTCGTTCTCATTTGACGAGACAATAAAACAGACAGGCCCTTAAATCTACCCTTTAGGGCTGTGTGTCGCGTTTAAGGGTCGATTCAGACGGAGATGCGAGCGTCATAAGTGCTGGGGGAGGGGGATCAAGTGGATAGAAAATCCGGAAGAGCATTTTAAGTGTTTTGCTCCGGATTTGGATGTAGGGGAATCTTAAAAGGGATTTTTATCTAAGTTTTAGGGTCGTATCTTAGTGAAGGATAGTGTTTTTATGTCTCTTTTTAGTGGTTTGTTCCATTTACTGTTAAAATATAAATTAACAACTAATATTAATTAAATAATGGACTGGAATAGCGCCAACATACTTCTAATTCATAAGAACCGCAGCAAAAAAGACATCAGAAACATCAGATTCTTGTGAACATACTTTTGGAACAAGTGCATGTACAGGGTGGTCCTAACTGTATTCCGGAAACTTCGGCAGCATATTCTGCAGATAAAAAAAAAGTAAAAAAGTTCATATTAATGTATGTCCGAAAATGCTTAGTTTCGGAGATACAGGGTGTAGAAGTTTTAAGTTAAAATATTTTTAGTAGTAAATATTTGGAAGAAAATAGGTGTCTGGGAGTTTTTTGACATGAGAAATTTGATTTTGATGACAATATGACTCCTACTTGTAGAGGGCGCCACCTACATATTTTTTAACTGGTTTGAAGAGTAATAACTTTTAGTCCGTACCTGTATAAAACTACCGAGTAAAAAAATATACATTTACGACATTTTTTACGTAAAGAAGGTCTCTTGGGAAAAATCGCTACGAGTAATGGTTCTCGAGATATTTAGAATCGAAATTATCAATACTTGTCATCATTGACATAAATTAAACATGTTGACTACATACTTATTAGACTGAAATCATAAATTTAAAATGTTTTTTGTGTCAAAAGTTCAACAGAAACTGTTTTATCATCATTTTTTCGCAAAAAAATTATGAATAATTTAAAAAAACTATAAATTTCCCCAAATTTATTATTTCAGTCAAATAACTGTCTACTCAACGTGTTCATTTTTTGTCAATAATGATATATATTGACTATTTCCATTCTAAATATCTCGACAACGGTTACTCGTAGCGATTTTTACCAAGAGACATTTTTTACGTAAAAAGTCACGGAAATGTATATTTATACAGGTACGGACAAAAAGTTATTACTCGTCAAAATAGTTAAAACACATGTAGGTGGCGCCCCCTGCCAATAGTAATCATATTGACATCAAAATCAAATTTCTCATGTTAAGAAACTCCCAGACACTAATTTTCATTCAAATATTGACGTTGCTTCAGATATTATTTGGAAAAAATTAAATCTTTAATGGAATTGGGCAGGACATAGAGGTGTGTAGTTCGTGAACGAACTAGTTCCAATTGTTACGTTTTTCGTCGGTTCCATGTGGATAGAAAGTCACAATTTATTTAAACACTATTTATTTAACACTAATGAACAAAAATAATAACGATAAAAGACTTATAGAACTATTTACAAACGATTTATAACTAAGAATTTATTTTGAATTTTAGCGCGTCAACTGTATATTTATAACTGCCCCCTGTACTGTGATGGTAGGCAGGAATGGGGAGTGCCAGCCGTACGTTACCGGATCCGGACCTAGAGGAACTAAACTAAATAAAAGACTAGTTTACGTACGAACGGATCGGGCCAGCGCGGTCGATGCTAGGCAGGAGTAGGGAGTGGGGAGTGCCAGCCGTATGCCGTATGTTATCGGATCCGGATCTAAAGGAACTAGAGCAACTAAATAAAAGACTAGTTTACGAATGGATCAGCCAGAGCGATTAATGCTAGGCAGGCGTGGGGAGTGCCAGCCGTATGTTATCGGATCGGGACATAGAGGAACTATTAAAAGACTAGTTCACGGGAATCATTCAGTCGGCAGATCCGAGATATAATACAAGGCGACGACGATGGATTCGGCCTTGTCTATTGCCACAGCCGGCGCGGCGTAATTACCGCAGAAAATGGTCGTGGATACTGTTTTTGATTTTTACTTTGTTTTTTATGGGAATGTTTCACTTTAGGTCCCTAAAATTAAGAAATATCTTATAAAACGAAGTAGATATTCTAAATTTTTAGACAAAAACCAAAAGCTTGAAGTGAGGAAAAATACATTTTTTCGTAAATTTTTCGTATTATTTCCTCCAATTGATTTGCGATATAGACAGTGCGTGCTATTTTAAACTCTGATTGGAATTTCTTTAATTTTTTTATCTGCTATAAAACTTACCTATATGTTTTTAACATATGCAATTACGCGTCTTCTTATATTTCGTACATTATAAAAATTATAATGATCTGTATAATTTTGAATAGTAAACTGTGAATAGTTCTGACTGAAAACGAAATCCATTAGCAAGCAACGGGGATGTCAATGTTAGTCGGGAACTATTGGGAACTAAGGACCTAGTTCAA